ATGCCACCAGGATTGTTGTGAGAGGATCTAGAAAAACAGAGCAACAAACTACAGGGGTTCTTGCCGCTCACTCACAAGAGCAACGTGACGGATAGAGAGTTAGTGTCACCGCCTAAACAAAGAACACAAAGCATAATGGCTGGCTCGTCCTGCAACTGCGCATCAGTCTTAGCAAAAGTAGCAAGCAGAAACAATCTGCTGCTGCATCTCATTGGTTTGGAGTTGCTGAGGAAGAGGATAGTTCAAACCAATCAATAATTGCTGAGGGCAACTCAAGAATTTCAAGATGGGAGAGTGGAATATTAGCCTGACAAAATCTAAAAAATCTGTGCTGATAGATAGATTTTCACATCTCACGACTAAGACGCAAACAACTGAAGCTCAAGGAAAGATGGAGGCAAAATCATAAAATGTCCTTAGATTATTTGGGCCAAAAAATGCACGAGGTGATGTGTTTGTTTTCATTGAGCCTAGCAGCTCTAGCGGTCCATGCATATAGCTAAACTATTCTACTGGTGCTCGGAACCTCTAACTGGCTGAATTTTTATGACACTAAGGTCTAAACTAAATTTATTTTTTAGCTTGATCAAAATAAAATGCAATGATAGCATAATCACACTTGACTCATACTTCCAATGTCTGAAACTGTGGATGTTCAGACCAAGCATAGCATTTGCTGAAACCAACTAGCAGACAACAGATAACAAGCTAGAACTGAGGACAAACAAATTCAGAATTCTCAACTGTGCAGCATTGGAGGGACCAACCTCAATTAGGCATGATGGCAAGCTTAAGCAAAGAATGTGCATCAATTGGGATTTAGAAGCAAGCAAACCGTGGCGACACACACACACACCCTATGCCTCCTCCACACACACACACAAACACACAAGCACATAAACCAATAGATTTCATAAGTGGAGCCTACAACAATCGACAACTCACGGAAGCCTATGCCTGTATATTTACTTACCAGTTGTCACCCCTTTTCACTGGAAAACATAGAAATCAGGAAAAACCAACTGGGACGCAGCCGCATCCACACCAAAACCAACTGATCTTACAGTTCTGCAGGCTTCTCTCTAATCACTACCACCTGTAGAGAAACAATCAGACAATTCAGATGTAGCGACGGTTCTTTACAAATTACCAACTAAGGTCGAGATAGCGTGAACCACACAAATTATTTCAGATCCACACTCATATAAACATGCATTGGGAGTGTTTGCAGATAGCCAAAATGGTAATACCATTCTGAAGAAATTTAGTTCTCTCTGCATGTGAATGGAATCTGGCATAACTTAACCCCTTTCCCCGCTGATTTTAAATTGAACAGATCTGAAGGAATGGGTGCAAAACTCCAATCGCTTCCTTATAATAGGTGCTTTAGCGACTTGACACAGATAAGGCCAGAGCATGACGTATACTAGATTACAACTCGAAAAAAGAAGGCAAACTAACAATAACAAATGAAGGCATAGTCATTGATCTGTGTTCATCAAAACAAATGAAATTAACAAATGATAGGATGAACGCACAACTAGATCGACTGAACCCACATCAGGAAAGGGGATGGGATACATCAACCACCATCAAACTCTAAACCTATGCCCTCCTGGTGCTAGAAGATTGAATCAATCAAACAAATGGATTCCAAATCAGGAAAGGGATGAGATGCATGATGCAACAGATGAGAAAGAGGAAAGACGGGGTACAAAGAGGAAGAACAGAAGCAACCACGCACCATAGGGCATCCCCGGAGCTCCTCGGAGAGATTCAAGAAGATCCAGGTTCGGTGAACGCCTGAACCTCGACCTGAATGAAATCGTCTCTCCCTGCTCCACCGTTGCTGCCCCCACCCACTCTCGGCCCCCCGCGAGCAGCTCCACTCCGGGCCACTGTGGTGCTGAAGTGAAGAACGGGATGCGCCAGCGCCACCATAGTCAGTGCTCCATTTGGCAGGGAGCCGGAGGAGACAGGAGTGGGCAGATCTGGGACTAGGCTCGTCGAGAGAGTGGGAGGGAGAGATAGAGAGGAGCGGGTGGTTGTTAGGGCGGTGATGTTAGCGGGTGCATTTCGGACCCGATAAGAATAGGCAAACCCAACACACCAGCGCACGGATCCCAGGCTGTGGCGTCGCCTGAGAGGAAGTCCAAAATTCAGTCGACAGAACAATAGGAAAAGTGAATTTTTTAATGTTAAGTTTTCTAAAGATACTGTGTCTGTGAAAGTTTTTGTTTGTTTGTATAACTAGATCTTTAAGTGAAAGTTTTCTGAGCCCACCTTTTATTGCCGGGTCTTTCTATTAATTACACTTGTGTGAAATTTTATTATTGATTCCAACTTATTAGCTTATTAATTGGCCAATGAAACGAGTCTCCACACTATTTTTGAAAGGCCGCCTAGCTACAAATAACCATATTAATTGAAGGAAATAAATTTGAAGTGCTAATACACATGTTTATAAAATTACCCATCACTTTCATTACACAAAAATTGTCCCCCCATACACATACATATTATGCTATCACAAACTCATGCAGTTATTCAGAAAAACACAAAACAATATAAAAAGATAAACATAAAAGGCAACCGCATGTGTATTCAAATGATATATTGCTACCTCTATCCAAAAAACCGTTATCGTTTAAGGATTTTTAGGACAGACTAAGAAAGATGTGAAATGACTATGGATGCCCATATTAACTAGTGGTTATTCTAATTTTCAAGGGTTGCAAAGCCTAACAGTTGGACCAGAGAGGTGTTGATTTAATGCACGTGACCATGGGCCCCACTGACGGTACAAATCTAGAATGATGTATTGTATGGGTGAGTTCTAAAATATCAAGTTTTTTGGGTATAGAGATAATATATGATAAAAATACAAACATGTTTCAATACGAGAAATTTAAGAAAATAAAAAATAGTAAACAAATAAAAAACCATAACAATATATCGATATTGCAGAAAAATACAAACGTTGGTGTTTATGAGTTGCATAAAAACACAAATATTCGTGTTTGCGAGTCTACCTAGTCAATATTATTGTTTCCGAAGGATGTGTTTGGCAACTAGGTCGGAAGAGGCATGAGAATCAGTGGTGGGGGTTGGTAGAGGGAATTAAAGTGGGAAATTGACTTTTAGTCACAAACTCTTGTTTGATTCATGAAGGGAAATAAGAGAGGGAATTGAAGAAGGAATTCATATCCCCTGTTTGGTATGGGGGTTTTGAGGAAGAAATTAAAAGGCAAATCATGATGGACGATTCTTTTATTAAGAACATAACTTCCACCCAATTCATACCCCTCCCCTAGGGAATTGATTAGTGGGAGTTGACCCTCTAAACTCTCCTTCCCCTTCCCACCAGAATTGACATTCCCACAAAACAAATAATTTTTTTTTAAACTTCTACCTCTAAACTCTCATTCCCTGCTTCCAATTACCCCCGACCAAACGAGCTGTCAAGAAATGAAGGGGGGTGGATGACCGACAAGGCGACAAGGGCTGGATCCGCCGCTTTGCTGCTCTAGGGCAGGGCCTCGTGTGGGCATGCGGCGGCCGACCCTACCTGGTTTCTTTCCCACATCTCATTAGGCCCAGTGTTCTATGGCCCAAATCTGATTTCCCGGCCCTCCCTGGTGGCCTCAGTCTAGAGGACCGAAACTTGTTTCGTCGCTTGGGTTTCAGATCGCGATCATCGAAAGGAAATGGCCCAATAAAACATGTAATGGGCCATAGAAGAGAAGATAATGTGCTACGTCACACTCAGCTCAGCGACCGCACTGACTAAAGTATGTGTTTTTTTTTACTTGCAACAACCAGTTCTTAACGCAGAGTCCTCTGTCCTAAAATATACAAGGGTTAAAAGTTTGTTAGTCAAATATGTTATAATAAAAAGAAAAATATTAACAGTCACCACATCAAAGATGTCATATTATAATCAAGAGAAACAACTGAACATCTCATGTTTGATTGCTTATGCTAAATTTCTCTAGAGAGCGGTGCACTTTGTACTAGATTTGAAACCCTAAAAGATGCTCATGATATTTGTTACAGGTGGTACAAACAAGGACTTTTTTTTTCCAATTAATCCTTGTTGCTCTTTGTATTGAGTTTGAAACCCCAAAAGATGTCCATTATCTTTTTTACACGTGGTACAAACTAGGGGGAGATTCAAATCAATCCTTGTGCTCTTTGTACGGTTTGAAACCCCCAAAAATGTCCATTATCCTTTTTACAGGTGGTACGAACAAGGGGCAGTTTCAAATCAATCCTTGTTGATGATAGGATGTGCAGCCATTTGCTGGATAAAATGATTTACAAGGAATGAAGTTGTGTTTAACAAGTGTCGACATAAAACTTTTTTGTAGGTTATATTTAGAGAAACGTACTGGCCATGCTAATAGACACAATTTTAGTGGGGTGAAGCCAATAAAGAACACATTCTCCAAGTTTGTTAAGTGCTAGAGACGATGACACTGATTTTTTTTTCTTCCTTTGGATGGCCTAATAATGTGAGAATTGACATTTGAGTGGGACATTTGTGTGGTTAAACATTTTTTTTGTAATAAGTGGTATGATTCTCTTGTTGACAAGAGATGAAGCCAGATCTATTTCCATTATCTAAAATACAAAAAAATCATAATATATTAATAACACTAATTTGATTTCATAAATATATATATTTTTATAAATTTGATGAAACATTGCATAGTTTGACTTGAAACAAATTTAAATCTCATATAGTGGAGGAGCAAGAGAGTAAAAACTAAAAACAGTGTAGGATGCACGCATGGTTGGGGGCGTTCCCTATTCCCCAGTCCTGACTTCCACCTAAGCAGCAGCAGGGAAAACCACCAAGGTTTTTCTTTCTAGACGAAAGGCCACGGAGGCAGCTGATCCATTGGTTTTTCATTTATTTACATGATTGATTATTTACATATCTGATTATAGAGGGATGCTCAAGCCACAACGTCAATTCCCAAAGCACACCGGGAGGATCATGCGTTGAACACGGTGCCGCAACCGCCACCACAGCCTCCACCGCCGCAGCCAGAGCCGCAGCCGCCGGACACAGAGTTCTGGCCCTCACTGCCGGCCTTGGTGCTCACATTGAACATGGTGCCATAGCCACCCCCGCCGCCACAACCGCCACCGCAGCCAGAGCCACAGCCTCCGAACTTGGCGTGCCTGCCGTTGGAGCCTTCGGCGACCATGCTGCCACTACCGCAGCCTCCGCCGCCACAGCCGGAGCCGGAGCCGCAGCCGCCCCCGGGTCTGGACTGGCCTTGGTCGGCCGCAGTGCCGCCCGAGCTGAACAGGGTGCCGCAGCCTCCTCCACAACCGCCACCGCAGCCAGAGCCGCAGCCACCAGACTTGGCATTGTTGGTCTTCGAGCCTTCGATGCCCATGCCGCTGCCACAGCCAGCACCGCCGCACCCGGAGCCGCAGCCAGCTGACTTATTGGGCAGACCCTGGGCGGCAGCAGTGCTGGCGTTGAACAGGGTGCCACAACCACCACCACAGCCGGAGCCACAGCCGCCGGACTTGGCGGTGTTGGTCTTGGAGCCTTCGATGACCATGCCGCTGCCGCAGCCACCACCACAGCCAGAACCACAGCCACCACCGCAGCCTCCAGACCTGGGCTGGCCCTCACTGGCCATGGTGCTGGCCTTCAGCATGGTCCCACAGCCTCCCCCACCGCCGCAGCCACCATCACACCCGGAACCACAGCCTCCGGACTTGGCATTGTCGGCCTTGGAGTCCTCAACCACCATGGGTCCACAGCGGCTTCCACAGCCAGCAGCAGATTCAGTGTGGCCGTTCTCACCACTTGCAACGACTGTGCGAGAAGCACCTGAGCTAGCATGTTCAGCCTTGAAGCCCACCACAACTTTGTCACCACCGAACGCCGTGCTGCAAGTGCCACATTGTGCAGGAGCCGTTGCCACGCTCCCTGCTCCGACAGTCTGTGTCTCTAGCACAATGCTAGTGTCAGATCCAAACAATGCATCCTTCTGAGCCATGGCACCACCGATAAGTTTCACACTGTCCTTGTCATCGGCGTCCATGAACAGGACCGATGTCGTGATCCATGGAAGTAGGAACCAATCCTCATTCACCTATAAGAACGACGAGCATGATTATGTTAGTGCAAAAAAAATGTTAAGAAAAGAAAGGAAAAGAAAATTCAGGTTTCAAATGATAAGACAAATAGAAGTGTACCATGATAAGCTGAGATTCAGTGTCTAGCAAGGCAACAGCTTTGCCATATGGATGTTCAGCACAGAACTTTACAGCAGTAACAGCTGTAACATCCTCAGAATGAGCGCTGCAGCATTTGCGCTCGTATTCCAGTTTCCTTCCCTGATAGAGCTTGATCTGGTTTTTTCAAACATGTACAAAAAATTTGAGCTTGCTACATGAATACTAGCTAGTGGTCATTACAGTGAACTGAGCTTGAGTTATGCATGCTTACCAGTTGGTTGAAACCTTTGAGATCGAGTAGACTGCCATCAGTGCCATGACTAATTGACAAGTTGGAGTCTTTTAGGGTCCACTTATTTTCCTTGAATTCTGCAAGCTGAAATTGCTTTTTTGGTGACTTCAATACTCCAACCAATTCTCGAACAGAAGCCATGCCATTCTTTGCCTTGTGCTCTCTGGGATACAGTGGAGTCATTAGTCTCATTTTTGCTAGCATGATTCAGATTAGTAGTAATTGACAAAAATGTTCTTTTTTACAGGAACGGAATTTTTTTCTCAACCTGCTTAACCTGGCAAATAAAGACATACTGTTCTATATACCAGTAACTAAAGTCCTTCCACTAGCCAAATGAACTGTAGGCTGATCTGAATGAATAGTTATAGATTTCTTCATAAGAGGAACATCAGCTCCAACTGCAACTACCGATTTCCATCTTTGCATACTCAACCTCATTTGGAAGATGTAATAGATGGCCATAGTGGCAGTAGTGTATACTACAATGTGTATTACTAGTCAGTATCAAACACATTGTTTGACTTACAGTTCTACCTATCTGTTCAATTGCAGATAAGTATCTGTTCATTTCATAATAAATGAAGAAAAATACCTTATCTGAAGACGGATAAGCTCAGTACCACAATCATATACGAAACGAGTCCAGGTGCTCATGTTCTGATCCTTGATGGAATGTGGCAGAAGACACGACTTGAGAGAGAAAGGCTCCATCGTGACCATACTGAACACCTTCTGAAAGCTGCTTGGGACAGTAGCAGAAGCTGCAACATGAAGACTAACAGGAGGGGGAAGTGGCATGCCCACCATGAGTTTTCAGTTCAAACCACTTCTCGGAAGGAGAGCTTAGAATCAGGCCCTATCAAATCTTGCAGTGGGAAAGAAACCTTCCCTATTGGTTCTGGTTTCTTTGATACCTGATCAACCATTACTACAAGAATGAGTTCTCCGGTAGGTTCACACTGTAAACAAACTCCAGTGTTCTTCCCTGTAACTGTTGAAATATCCAACCTGCCACCGTCACTGATAAACATATCTGATTGATTCTTGGTGAACCGTACATACACATTTTCTTTTCGAACAGCAGATGGCAAATTCTTGATGTCCACAATTTGTAAATATAACTGCAAAGGACGAGATGTTCAAGTCTTAATTTAGTAGAAACACTTTGGCAGAAGAACTGCTTGCATCAGAATTTACGAAATTATCATATCAGTTATGTATCCAGAAACAACTGTTTATAAAAGTCATCGTTCATTAGTAGTATGACATGCATCATTTTGGACTCACTATCAGATCAGATCATTCAAGCTAGATATTACTTTTTTTTTGTAATAACTGTAACATAAAGAAGAGAGAATCATACCTCTACAGATGTTATATCGAGGGCATTAAGATCCTTCTGAGTTTTGCAGATGTCAGACCCCGTTCCAACCTCAGTACTGAATATCTGAGGAGTGGATGTCACAGGAGATGGCATGTTGCCACGGTACATACATCCAGCCTTCCAGTATCTTAGACCAAAGGTACTCTCAAACTGTTCAGTAGTCTCAGTGAATCCAACATCAAGTTTCTTTCCTTCAGATCGATCAGCATCGGTGTCATCATGCTCCAGAACTTTTCCAAGAAGCTTCACCATGTCGTCGCGGTAGGTAACAGGATGCAGCTGGTGAGTGTGCCACAAGAGATCCACATCGTAGGTCGGTACACGGAAGCGTTGCAATCCTTTTTCTTGATTCATTTTGATCAGGTACAGAAATGCCTTGTATCGAGCTAGAGCTTCTTGGAGAAACCGTGGATCATGCATTGTTGGTGTTCCAACCTGTCAGAAAGAAGTGACACTTTCTTATTTTCTGTACATATCATTTTATCTATTGTAAGGACGACCAATGAAAAAAAATCAATAGCTGTCACCTGCACTAACTAGGTCAATTAATCTAGGTGAACATCTGTAGTGTGTTGTTAAAAAAAAAGGTTTCCTTTTCAGTGTATAATAATATGAAGTATAACTTAAAATAGTATAAAATTTACTATTTATAAGTCAACCCATAATATTGTATCAATAGTTATGTATGTATCATATATATACTGGGGCGAAGATTGTGCAAGTACCTGATAATAGAAAGAGGATTGCCTCTTAACAGCAGACACCAGATCATAGGTAATGTCCTCTGCAGCTCCAGGGTTCACATCCATCGCAATGTCAGAGGTTCTTGTGAACACCAATTCGAAGGGCTCCTCAGGATACAACTCTTTCCAAATCTTTTCTGACTGAAGTGTTGATTTTGTTTGAGTGGACGACTCAACATTGTTATTGTTCAGTATTCTACCATATACTTTCTTGCAGTCCCTTATGTACTGAACCTGAAAGATGTGTGCTTGAATAATTAGTTCCCTCAGTTCTGTGAATAGCATCATCAACAAGAGTACAGGATACAAGTTGCTTTCATAAAATATTTGCAAATAGAGTCATAATATATAATCAGTAAAAATAATGCAATTGGCTGCCTGATGCAGTGTTCAGATCATCGTGAATTACAGAGGATCATTGTGGTAAGGATGTGTACCGGGTTAAGCCGATGGCAGTGCCATATCCACTCACAATCAAGAGGAACAACCAATGGGCCATCTACAACCGCAGCCTTAGTGTGCTTATCAAGAAGGGGAAGCCAGCATGCTTTGTACCTAGCATATAGCAACAAAACCAAACAAAAAAAGTCAATGGGGTATTATATCTCAGCACATGAATCAGCACCACAATTTTTCTGTATTGGTAGTACAGGAGATTATCCCAGCACAAGAAGAAACATTATCATGGAACTATCAGTAATTCAACATGGCAGTGACTTGTTATGTGACATGCAGATCATTTTCAGGTAAATATCTCCAGCTAAGGCCAAAAAAACAGAGCAAGACTATTTACAGTTGGTCCCAGCTCTCTGCTGAATTCTGCCCCCAAAGCTGAAGTTCAGGCACCTGGCCTCCTTATTATCCAACTAGAGATTTCTTAGATCGATTTTCATCAAGAAGATGGTTGCTTCATTACAGGAATAAAGAGGAACTTGCAGTCAAGATTCATGTACCAGCACTTTCCATCTATGGTTGCTTTACATTACAGAAATAAAGAGGAACTTGCAATCAAGATTCATGTACCAGCATTTTCAATCTCATGAGTTCCCTAAAGATTCACTGAACGTATCATGCATCGGAGCCGACAAAGATGAACAGTCCACGACCAGTCATGAAGCAAGCAATAAAAACGTCCCTTGCTTTCTCCAAGAGCCAAAAGCCGAAGGGGGAAGAAAAGCAAACAAACTTTTATTTTCCGCAAACAATGATCCGTACCTGCGTATGGCCCGGTCGAGTAGGGGGCCCTCGTAGAGCCACCGGCGGCGGTCCACCGCCGCGAGGAACTGCAGCTGCCGCAGCGCCGCCGCGACAAGGTCCGCCCCGACGGGGACCCCCTCCTGCGCCGCCGCCCACCGCGCCGCCTGCTCCCCGTCCATCTCCTCCTCCCTCGCCGCCTGCGGAATCTATCACCACAAGGTCAGACGGCAGTGTGTGGCTATTCGCACGCCGGCGGACGAACGGGCTCCCTTCTTGATTTGTCGCTGCGGCACTGCGGCAGCCAGAAAGAATCCGCGACACGGTTTCTTGCTCGGGACCGTTTGAGTTTGGTATTTCAGAGCTGAAAAAAGGTTGGATTTTTTTTTATACCGAGTAGGAACAGTGCGTCTCTATCATATCTGTCTCGGATTTGATTTTTTTTTGAACAAACTGTCCCGGAATCGTCTTCTCGAAAAATCAAGAAGTTTTGAAATCGTCGAAAAAACAGCACTAACATCTTTTCTTTCTCACAAACGGAAGAGGAGTTCGAATTCGAAGGCACGCTGCAGCACAGCAGAGGACTGTAGTGGACCATCTGTAATGATCTCTCATCTCTCCCTCTCTTTTTTCTTAAAAAGAAGATACACTATTATGGAGTAGTAGTGTGAATCAAAGAGATGCAGAGGATGCATGAATTACACTATGCTAGCAGCTGAACAGCCGGACCGGCTGAACAGAAGGATGCGAGGAAGAACCTGAGCGATTGCAGTGCAGGAGAGAGCTCCTCAGAGTGGCACTGGTGCATCTGCTGCTACCTCTTCAGCTCCGGAGCTCCCTTCCCTATTTATAAAGGCAGTCGGTGAAGTGGACAAGCAATGACAATGAATGAAGTATTGAGCTGGACATCATCGCTTTCTTATATCTTTACATACTTGAACCATTACTACATGACAGCGGCGGTTAAAGCCTTAGGTGAAGTACCGATTTTTTCAGCTGAAAACCCTGTCCCTGTGTGTGCAAGTTGAGTGTGCAGTGCTCCCTCCTGCACCATATTATATATAGCTCCTCAACGGAAAAGGGGCCGGGTATCATCATCGTTTTCTTGTGTTTGCTTGCATTGGTGGTGTCAGCTACTACCAGAATCAGGCGAGCCGTTTCGCGGCGTGCTGCGTGAAGCAACACACACAGGAAACGGGTCGGCCAGATCGCATTCAGTGCTGCAGATCTGCTCCTAATCTCGACCGCCTTTCCACTAGCATTCCTCTTGTTTGGACGCATGCAGTTGATTTGATGAATCAGCAGGTGACGTGTGCGCCTGCCATGTTATCCTTTCCCTCTGCAGATATGGATATTTTCAGGATGAATCACTGCACATATGCCAATGATGAAGAGTTGAGTAAAGGAGACTTTCTTGAATCATCCACGCTAGCTACTGCTACTAGGCCTCGTTTAGATTACAAGTTTTTTCACTCTCTCTTTATCATATTAAATCTTTGGACATATGCATGAAGTATTAAATATAGATAAAAAAATAACTAATTATATAGTTTGATTGTAAATTACGAGACAAATCTTTTAAATCTAGTTAGGCCATGATTGGACAATAATTGTCAAATACAAATGAAAGTACTACAATGTCAAATACTGATTTCTAATCAGGATCTAAACAAGCCTAGTAGTTTTCCCAACGCCCCCCCTCCTTGGGCGAAGATGATGCTAGATGCCGGGTTGGTTGCACCTAACGCTGTCTTCAGTCTTCACTCGGCAGATGCAGTAAGGTCGTACAAGCGATGGAGCTGCACGTATCCGTGTAGTACAAGATCTCGCAAACCCTTGTTCGTACAACTGCATATAGGTTGGTTTTAGCCAGCCCAAACCAGCCAGCCAATAGTGTTTTATTCTCACAATAAACCAGCACCAGCCAGCCTAAACCAGTCCAGAAACCAATCAGCGAACAGGCCGAACAAGTCAGGCGTCGTGGTTGCCGGCCAACAGATCAGAGTTTTCGTCTTTTGCAGCATGACACATAGCCATACAGTCATACAGATATCCTGGTTTTGACGATCACAGTAGCTGTTGACGGAGATTATGAGAAGCATGCTATGGCATCAAACACATCCAAACAGAGCATCTCAAAGTAATTCTTGTCAAAGTTTGTAGTCAGGTCCGATTTCCGCTCAAAGATTGCCATGTGTTCGTTCTTTGCGGTGCAAGGCCATCTACTCATGTTCCATTATTTCAATCAAGGAAGAAAGGGGGAGATCAATGATGTTGTAGTATACGGTCACCATCGATTAAATTAGGGCTTTGCTGCGGTACCCAAGTGACTGTGAGCCGTCCATTTATTTTGATCGGACGGTTACGATAACATATTACCTAGATGAAAAAATATTTAATTAATTTTTTAATTAGTAAAATTGAATAAATAAATGAAGTTTTAGATATAATTTTTTTTCTAGATTTGATTGATGCATGCATGATCCGGTGGATATGGCAATTTTTTTTTAAAATGCAACTTTAAACTTGATATATTTTGGTTACCATGTATTTTTGTACGTGGCCGATACACTTGAATTTGTATTTAATATGACTTGTATGTGTGATAGTAATAGTATTTGGTTATGTGTTACCGTACAGACGTACGTGATTACGTGTACGTGACATATGTGTAGCGAGTGGCCGGTAATGTGAGTACGGGTACGTGACTTACATGTCGGTAGCGTGTGTATACGTGTTAGTATATGGATAATTTCACAAAACTGAATTTATTTGAAAAAAAAAAAACATACGTCAACCAGATCAGTAGATCCGTCAGAATCCCGGGATTAGGGGAATCAAGACTGGGATCTTTTCTCCCGTCATTAGGGGAATCCGCAATGATTACTTTTTTGTTTTCCTAGATTTTTTAATTTATTAAGCAATTCATAAAAAATGAAAAATCAATGGCTCTGATTAATTTGAGATATTACCTCATTATCTCTTACGACTAAAAAGAACAAAACGTGAACATTTTTTTGTGCGACATTTGTTTTGGTTCGTCCGTCTGCCCACGTCTGTGATATCCGCCTGCTTTGAAGTAAACAAATCGATCACCTGAGGCCACATGCATGGAAGGAAACAATAATCATGCACCGAAATCATGCTGCTATGGAAGGGAGGTACGTTGATGTTCTTCAAAAGATCCCCGCCTGCTTTGAAGAAAACAAATCGATCACATGAGGCCACATGCATGGAAGAAAACAATAATCATGCATCGAAATCATGCTGTTCTGGAAGGGAGGTACGTTGATGTTCTTCAAATGATCCCCGCCTGCATTGAAGAAAATAAATCGATCACCTGAGGCCACATACATGGAAGAAAACAATAATCATGCATCGAAATCATGCTGCTCTGGAAGAGAGGTACGTTGATGTTCTTCAAAGGATCCCCGCCTGCTTTGAAGGAAACAAATCGATCACCTGAGGCCACATGCATGGAATGAAACAATAATCTTGCATCGACCCTTGCGATATTTGTTTTGGTTCTTCCATCTGCCCACCCCGACCCCTGCGATACCGCGGCTAATAAAAAAAAGAAAAATCCCCCTTCGTCTCTCTCGTGACCCGACGCCCGACGACGCTCCCTCCCCCCGACAGCCAACGACGCTCGTCCCTCCCGGCCGCGGCGACGCTCCTTCCTCGCCGGCGATGACGGCGCTCCTCCCTCGCCGGTGGCGCTCCCTCTCACGGCGGCCTCCCATCTCCAGCGAAGCTTTGCGAGCTCGGCCTCGGCGCGTCCAGATGCGCGGGCACGGCGGGCCCTAGCTGCATCGCGTGGGGGCTAGGACGGCCGCGCGGCAGGTACCTTCCTCTCCTAATCCCCATCTCTTCTTCTTGCGTTGGATGCTGGATGTGTGAAACCTATCTGAATGAGGAGCTAGTCTGGATGTGTTGCACATGCTTCTTTGCCTGCACTTGCTGATTATGTGTGAAACCTATCTAAATGAGGAGTGAAATGGCACGGTTGAAATTGAAACCAAATTGAAGTTGAATAATTCAGCTCTGTATGTTTTCATGCAACTCTGTATGTTTCCCCAATGCACGGTTGAATAATTGGGACCAATCGATTTTGCTGATTATGCATTAGATATGTATCTTAGATATGTTTGGTAGATGATATGTATGCTGAAGCTGCTCCCATGGCATTGCTGCCGTATGTTAGATTTGTAGCTGCTGCATTAAGAACATGTGAACTCCGATCAAACATTGTCGACTTCGGCAGGTATCCGCATGGACGCCAAGTATTTTGGTCCTGACAGAAGCATGCAGCTTCTCATGAGAAGAACAAATTGAAGCAACGTGTGTGCAAGCCATCTGCAGTGTGCGTGCATGACTGCATATACATATATGCGATTAGAAGAGGTGGAAGGGAAAGAAACTGATCTACAGTGCAAGTGCACACAACATATCTAAGATACATATATTATGAAATAGCTCACTGTCCCCTCCTGCCCTCCATTTTCATTTTTCAGATATATATTATGAAGTAATTAGCTTGTTATAAACGTCATATATTTGAAAACGGAAACGGAGGGAGTACTTGTGCATTTTGTGTAGAGCCACACTAGCCTAGGATAACACTGCAGCCTGCATTCTTGTTGTTTTTGCATTCACATGTATAACTTCAGAGGAAGTGAAGTGTGCAGTGTGCTACATATAGGATGTTTGGTCATGCTTTGCTTTGCAATGTTCCCTTTTCTCAATTCTCATGGCCTGGTTCGTTAGGTAATTCAGATAGATATGTCCAGTCAGTGGATATGGATTATAATAAAAGGGATGAAACTATATCTGAGGAAGAAGAAGAAGATGAAATGATGATGCTTGTTTTTCCGGCGCTATATTTAGCTTCTATCAGAACTAGAACAAGAACTCCATGTTACACTTCAAAGCTTAGTGGTCCAGAATATACACGTGAACTTCTTGAGGGCCATCCACATCGTTCTTATCATAATTTGCGTATGGAGCCATGGATTTTCAAAGCACTTGCAGATTACCTTAGTTCAAGAGGGCTTTTAAAGAGTACAAGAGGGGTTACTGTAGAAGAACAACTAGCAATGTTCATGTACATGCTTGCGCGAAATGCAAGTTTTACTACATTGTGTGATAGGTTTCAGCACAGTGGAGAGACAATACATAGACA